GAAGAGGACCTCTAGGGCAGTAAGGCAGAGAAGCCTGGAGAGGCAGGAGAACTTTGGTCCAAACCAGGCTGAGCAGGGAGGCCCCAGGGAGCCACTGCAGTGGGAATGGGGGTGACATGATTGGGTCTGCAGTTTGATGTCTGCATAGAGACTGGCCCTGGATAGGGAGGGGGAGAGACTCGAGGCAGGCAGATCCCACCGCCCAGCGGCTCCTGCCATGGTCCGGGTGTGAGGGGATGAGGTCCTGCACCAGGGGGTGGCTGGGCCAGGGGAGAGGAGGAAGATGCTGAGGAGGTCACCGTCACCGGAGCTCCTGAGAATGACTATCATCCACAAAGGCCGAGGGTAGGAAGGCAGAATTTCAACAGGTCATTGCCTGTTGGGATGATCACAGTAGAATTAGAGCTGCCCCCCTCCCCATGTTTGCTCTGCATCCTGCCTGCTTGAGTACTGTGGTTTGTGGCATCCTGTATTCAAGAATGTGTGGGGATGGGGGGGGGAGTAGAAGGGGAGAAGGGGGGGGAGAAAGAGATGGGAAGGGGGGAGAGAGGGGAGGGAGAGGGGGAGCGAGATAGAGGGGGGAGAGGGAGAGATGGAGGGGGGAAAGATGAAGAGAGAGATATGGGGAAGGGTGAGAGAGGAAGAGAGGAGGGGGGGGGAGAGTGAGCTCACTGGCTCGGCTGCTCCTCTCAGCACTGTCAGTAACTGCCTCAGTGCCCATGGCCAGCTCCAGTCACCGCTCTGGGCCTCGGTTTCCTCATCTGTAAAACAGATGGTTTTTCAGGCCACCCCCAGCTTCGAGCTGCCGTGAGTGCATGCTGTGCCCAGCAAGGGCTTGCTGAGTAAGGCAGTGAATGTGCTTTTGCTCCTTATGGTTGGGCCCCGTGGCAGGAGGCCCGGCGCGTCCACCACACAGAGCTTCCCTCGGCCCCTCTGCAGCACAGGGACCACAATCGTTGTCTTTGAGCCATATATATATATATATATATATATTTGGCTCCCAGGGGCCTTGTGCTGAATCAGGTTATTTTTGGCGGTTCCTATTAAACATGTCCTCCATTTGTTCCGAAGTCTTTGAGCAAATTGTCATATGTGGGTATCCATAAATAGGCAGTTATATATAAGTATATTCTTTCCATTTGAAAATGTTAAAGGGCCAAGGGGAGGGTCCAGAGAGAGCATGGAAAAAAAATTATTCAAAGAAGAAACCAAACCGTTGACATTCCTCGATATTAGCTTTAAATGAAAAAATGACCACTTAGGCCGCCACCAAAAGCAGAGACGGAGGGGGGGAGGAGGGAGCAGTGGGCCTGCGGTGGACAGACACCCATGGTGGGGGCTCGGGCCTCCTCCACGTTCTCTGTTTGCTGCCCAGTTTACCATCCAGGTGGAGAGCACATAACAGAACCTACCAGATACATTTGTGCTCCTGTTTCCCAGAGATGGTGGGACAAGCTGTCTACTCACTGGCAGTCGTTCTGATAGTGGGGGTGGGGGTGGGCAGGTTCTTGGAAGGGAGGAAAAGGAGGGAAACTTGAGTGCCAGGCCTCATCATAGGTGAGCTCCTCTGCTCAGCCCTGGGGCTCCAGCCAGACCAGCCTGGCCAGCCAAGATGCTGCCCATCCCCAAGGGTAGGGAGGTTAGCTAAGCCCTTGGTGGAGGCCTGAGGCATGGGCCAGTGGGGCATCAGCATCAGAGGGTCAGTCGGGCTGGAGCTGGGATGGCCTGTAGCCCAGGCCCTTCATTGGATAGAAGAGGAAACTGAGGCCTTCGTGTCTTTGCTTTGTGCCAGTGTCTCTCATGTGCTTTTCTTTGTACAAATGACGTGCCTCCTGGGAAGCTGTAAGCTCCCGGCTTCGCTCTCATGCCCGTGGGCCCAAGCATGAGGCCTTCTCTGGCCAAGGCACGCGGAGCCCTCAGCATACACTCCCCCAGATTGTCCCCCACCCTGTCTCATCTTCAGTCTGGGTTCTTCCCTTCTGCCCAGAAACATGCCACCTCAAAAACGGCCCCTGGGTGGTCCTTGCGTCCTCCCCAACCATTGTCTACTCTCTAGCTGCCAAGTGAAACTCCTTCAAAACACTCTGTCCTCTCATTTTCATCTTAACCATCTAAAATCTAGCTTCTGACCTCTTCTGCCATCACTGCCCTCTCCAGGCTTAGTACTGGGCTTTTACTGGCCAGACCCAGTGGCCTTTCCTCAGGCCTCGTTCTCCTCGATGTGTCTGCAGCCTTGGACACTGTTGGTCACTCTCTCCTCCTGGATGTTCTCTTCTCCCTAGGATTTTGGGACACCCCTCCTCCTAGGTTTTTGGGACACCCCCTCCCCCTTTCCTGGTTCTCCCCATCCCTCTCTGACCGCTCCTTCTCCATCTCCTTTGCTGGAGCCTCCTCCAGGTCACACTCTCTAACCAGAGGTGTCCCCAGGGGTCTACCTGGACCCTCTGCTCTTCTTCCCCTCAGCTGCTTTACTGAGTGATCTCATCAGCTCCCATGGATTTAATGACCATCTCTGTACTGATGATTCTCAAATCTGCCCATCTTGCCCTGTGTCTTTGCTGACCTCTAGCCTCATCTGCCTTTTGAATATTTCCAACTGGATGTTTCCTAGACAGCTTAAACTCAGCGTGTCCAAAATGGAACTCATTCTCCTTCCCCCCCACCTCTCCACCTCCCGTTACCATTGGGGCACCTCCCCCATCTCTCAGGCTCCCACCTGAGGCGTCATCTTGGTCTCCTAACTATGTCTCATATCCAACATGGCGCCAAGGCCTGTTGATTTCACCTCTACAGCATCTCTCAGATGTGTCCCCTCCTCTCCCAGCATGGTGCAGACCCTCATCTCCTCACACCTGGACGATGATCTGCTTGCCTGAGTCTCCCCCTTCGGTCCATCCTTCATTCAGCCACCAAAGGGATTTTTCTGAAGCTTAAGTCCAAACATGGCACTCTGTCTCCTCCGTAAACTCCAGTGTTCCCTATCACTTCCAGGGTGAAATACAACCCACTTTAAGCGTTCACCACCCCTCATAACTTAGACCCCTCCTCCCTTTGCAGTCTTCTTATACCCCGTTCCCCAATACGTCCCTTTCATCTAGTGATCCTGGCCTTCTGGCAGCTGTGCAAACAAGACCCTCCCTTGTCCCCGGCTGTCTCCCGTGCCCAGACGCTCTCCTTCCCCCTCTGACTACTGAAATCCATCTTCTGCCAGATGCCGCCCCCAGCGCCTTCACTCCAGGCCTTCCCTCTGGTCAGTAGTTCCTGTTTATCCTGCTTGCTGCTTGTCTCCCCCATTAGATTGGAAACTCCTTGGGGGCAGGGCCTGGCTTAACACAGCAGCAAGTGGGTGCTTGCCTCTTGCACGGAGCACACACCCGATGAAGCCGGGGGTCTGATTGTATCACATTGGCCATGGGCCTCTGCCAGGGTGTGTGTGAGTGCACTTGTATTGTGTCCTCTGTGGTTAGCTCAGCACCTTGCATACAGTAATCACCTCAGAAACGCTTGTTGATCGGCTGACAGGTGGGTACCTGAGCTGCTTCTTCCAGGTAGCGCCAGCCCGCTCAGAGAGGCGTTGGCCAAAACAGTGCTGCCCCTAATGTGGAGGCCCCAGGGGACCCCATTGGAGGGAAGCCTTTGACCTGTGTTTGACATTCAACATGCCCATGGTGGTGGATGTCCAGAGAGGCTGAGCCATGGCTGTGGATGCCAGTCATGAAAACCTTAGACAGAAAAGTTTGTCTTAAACCAAAAGTCCAGCGGGCTCCCGTTTTCATTGTAGAGCTCTTCCCTTGGAGGGCCCCCTCAGGACCCCCCAGGGAATGTTGGGGGGGGGATGGGGGGCCCTCACGACCTCAGGCTCACTCCCTGAGGCTGCCGAAGCTCTTTGTCCCAGCCTCCCCTTGGCCTTGTCATCTCCCAGCACCCCTGGTCTACTTTATCATTCTGACGTTTGTATGGTTCCAAGCTTGCTGCTTTCACCAGGCGATCAGTTCACAGCTTCCCCCCACTACAACATGCTGTGTGTCCCTCACTGTGCTGCCGTGTGGTGTGTCAGGGAGGGGAGGGCAGTGGCAAATATCAGTAACAGCCCCCGCGGTTTGTGCCTGTCTAGTTGTATGTTAAGGTCAGTCCTCCCTCCAAAGGGTGTGGGCAACCAAGATCAAGGAGGCCAGCTTGGCCTGCGCAGAGAGAGGCTGGGTCAGCAGGCCCACTGGTCAGAGCACACTGGGAGGCTGGCCACGTTTGAGGAGGGACCAGGTAGGGTAGTCAGGACAGCAGTGGGCAAGGGGCCGGGCACCCGAGAGCATTCCCTAAGAGGAGCCGTGGAGGGACCTGCCTCAGGTCCTTTGTGTTGTGGGGGAGAAATCAGACTGGCTCTCCTTGGTCCCCCAAGGAAGAACTGGGGGCCTGGTGTGAGGAGGGAGGGGCAGGATGGGAGGGCCTGGAGCGGGGAGAATCCTAGCACTTTCAGACCAGCTTTAAATGGCCTTGCAGGATGACAGCCTTTGGCTTTTCAAGGTGGTGTCCAATGAGCTATTAACTGTGTGTTTTAGGAAGTTAGCTTTGCTAAAGGAGTGGTATGAGCCTTCTTATTGTCTACAACTCATCAGAAGGTCCCTTGTAGAAAGAGCCCTTGAGGAGGAGGAGGATTGGAATGAGGATGAAGACAGGAGGAAGAGGGGAAGATGATATGGGGGGGCAAGAGGAGGGGAAGGATGACATGGGGGGCAGGAGGAGGGGAGGATGATGTGAGGGGCAATGGGGAGGGAGGGGGGAGGAGGGGGAGAGAGAGAGGGAGGGAGGGGGGGGAGGGGGAGAATGACATGGGGGACGGGAGGAGGGGGAGGATGACGTGGGGGTAGGGGGAGGTCTGTCCCTGGCTCCGTGGGTGAGCCTGACAAGCATTCACTTGCCATGGTCGCCCCAGGGGGATTCAAACCAGCAGACCCACCATCTTCCCTTGGCGTTCTCTCATGGTCTGTCCCATGTCTCGTCAGCTTTTCGCTGTGGCCTGCAGTTCCTGGGAAACATTGCAGCCGGGAATGAGGCTTCGCAGCAGGTCGTGTGGAGGGACGCCTTCCCGGATCTCTTCTTGTGAGTATGTTGTTTGGGGGTTGTGGGTTGTATCAGTCTGAATGTGGGTCACCCCCCATGACGGGCCACTTCTCTCAAATGGCGTCATCGAGAGGCCGACAAGCGCCTCACCTCAGTGACGGCCTGGATGCGGCTCTGCACAAGCCAGGTCTGGGTCAGAAACGTGACACCCCCCCCACCTATGGCCCTGATCTTTTGGTGAAGAAAGGCTCGGTTGACAGTGGCCATTTTCCCGGGCAAGATGGGTGATGGGCAGCCCCAGCCGAGCGTCTCTTGGTCAGGCTGTGCCCCTGCCCAGGACCCAGCACTGCATTGGCAAGGACTCTGCTCACTCCCTCCCCCAGCCTCCAGACTTGTGGCCCCACAGCCCGGCCCCTCGTGGGATGGTCAGCACGTCCTCGGAATGTCAGGCCCTCGTGGCCACATGGAGGAAAGGTCCTGAGTTGGGGCTGGGCAGACCTGGGTCCCAGTCCTGGCTCACAGCTCTCAAGACCCAGGAGCCCAGTAGGAGGCTCCCTGTACATTCTGGTGGTCTTTTTAAGATCTCCTCCCTCATGTGCTAGAATGAAGGGAACGGCGCGGCACAGCCAGGCTCACGGCGTCCCCTGTGTCCTCCCAGGTACTGCCTCCGCCATCCGGACGAGAAGGTTGTCGCCTATGCCTCCATGATCCTGTTCACATGCCTGAGCGCCGAGCGGCTGAAGGACCTGCACACCCAGAACCTGAGCGTAGCTCTGAGAGTTGTGGAGGCCCACCAGAAGCAGCCAGAGTGCGAGTGGGCGTAGGTATCACCGCACCAGGGCCGTCGGCTTGCTGGGCCCCGGAGCCTTGAGGAGAGGGATCTGGGGGCCCCTTAGCCTAACCTGCGACCGAGCCTAGACCGCTCTGATGTTTGTGACGAGGGACCATGGCTGCCTGATGACCTCTGGGGGTGGGCAGCTCACTGCTTCCAAAGGCAGTCCATTCCGCTTGTGGAGATGCAGCATCCCTCTCTGACCCTGCCCAGTCTGACACTTTGGTGGCCTGACGCTGCCAGGCACCCCAGCAGCCCATCCGGCCCACCTCTCATTCATGGAGGAGGAGCCCCGGGCTCAATGAAGGGGCATCTCTGAGGTGGTCTAGCTGCTCAGTGTCTGACCAGGGCACTGGGCCTCTGGCTCATGGGCCTGGACATAACACGGTGTCGTTGTAGCTGCCGCTCTCTGCGGCTTTTTATGTCTTCAGCAGATGACCTGTCTGCCTCCATCCCAGCCTCATGTCACCTTTCTCTGCCTCCCTGACAGAGCAGGTAGTTTCCTCTGCTGTCCAGATGACGGGTCAGCACCAAAGAACCCCCTCCCTGGCCCCCAGCCCACAGAAGAGGGGGTTTCCCCAGTGGGACACCCCTCTGAGGTCGTAAAGGACGGCAGCGCCATCACTGGTTCAGTTTACCAAGTAGAGTTTATGCCCGGCCAGCTGGGATGTTGCACAAACCCAAGCAGACCATTGGGGGTGGGTGGGGGTCTTAGTCCTTTCTTGTCACCCGTGGCCCCGGGCCTGGTTCACCCCAGAGGAAATGCTTTTATGGGCTGGGCCTCTTCTTGGCCCGGGGCATGGAGAGAGAGGAATGGAGTGGGGCAGTGCCTCCAGGCTTCAGGGCCAGCATCAGAGAGGGCTGGGAGAAGGGGGTCTCTGTGCCTAGTGTGGCCCCTCCTGGGGCACAGGCCAGCCGAGGACAGTTCACCCCTGTCATTGTGTCCTGGGGCTCCAAAGCCTGGCACCACCCAGGCCTTGGGTCATGGGGCACAGAGGCATGGGTCATTCTGAGCAGAGGTGTCAGGATAATCTACCCACTCGGTTAGGGGCGGGTGAACCAGCCATAGAGGCAGCAGGCCAGCAGTCTGCTAGACCTCTGCCTCCTCCCTCAGGGTGTCAGTCTCTTGGAGGTGGAAGCCAGGTGCAGGTTTCTCACATAGGGCTGGTCCCACACTGCCCTCCCCTGACCCTGACGCTCCCACCTCCATATCTGCTGTTCATGTCCTTTCCCTTGGAGGCCCAGCTCAGTGGCCACCACCTCTGGGAAGCCTGCCTTGCTCTCTCCCTCCCCCTTGGTCTTGTGGTTTGTGTGCTCCCTGGGAGACAATGGAAAGAACCTACCAGCATGTCGCTTTTCTTTCTCTGGGCCTCAGTTTCCCATCTGCAAAATGGGCTGTGGTGAGGCTGCCTTCTTTGCCGGCATTAGAGCGCTGTGTAAATGTCAGCTGCTTTTCTAACTGGATTATTATGTCTTTGAGAATGGTTTCTGATTGGTTCAGGGGTCAAGCGGAAAGTGGGCTGGACTTGGAGTCCAGCGGCCTGGGCCCTCCTCCTAGCCTCAGTTTCCCCATGTGCACCTGCACGCCCACCCTTCTGGCCAGTGGGGTGACCGCCAGCCCCTGGTCCAGATGAGGCTCTGCTGGCGCCCATTGCTGTTCTGTCGGCCTCTGCAGGGCCCAGCCCCAGCAGGGGGCTTCTCTGTCCAGCCTGAGATGGCCAGATGGGCTCTGGACGCTGTGGGGACGGGCCACAGCTGCCTGGAGACACGGCTTCCATTGTCTCGCGTTCTCCTACCTTCACCTGGTCTGTCACGGTAGCTGTGGGTAAGGAGGCTCCCTAAAGGCAGGAGCTGGGCCGTAGGCTACCCTGGTACCCGGCCGTACGCAGCCCCAGTGCCCAGCCATACTCTGCCCTGGCACCTGGCCATACGCTGTCCCGCAGGAGACATTCTGGAACTGTTGAACTTGGGTGTTTTGTGAGGTCATTTTGAATCCTGACTCTTCTACTTTGTGCCTGGATGAGGTTGGACTTTCCAGTTGTAGAGCCTGTGACTTAGGGCCTGAGCACAGGCCCTCAGATCTGCAGAAGTGGGCAGCCGCCTGTTGCATTGAGAGCCTCCAGCAGGCTGTGCATGAGGGCAATGCCAGCCAGCCCATGTGGGGAGCCCCGTCTCCCTCTCCTTGCTGCCTCCTAGGTCCCCTCTGTCCAGACCTTTCCTCCATTCATGACTCGCTCTAGAAGGCTCAGGGTCTGATGTCGGGGCCTCTGGCCAGCTGTGCCCGAGGGCAATGACAGCCAGCCCATGTGGGGAGCCCCATCTTCCCTTCCTTGATGCCTCTTGGGTCCCCTCTGTCCAGACTCTTCCTCCGTTCATGACTCGCTCTAGAAGACAGAGGGTCCAACGTCAGGGCTTCTGGCTGGAAGAGGGAGGGGAGTTGCACTTACTTTTCGGGTGGGTTTTCCAGAAGTGCGGGGGATGACGAAATGGCAGTTGTTTTTCATTTAATAGTCATTTTTCCTTGATTTTGCTCATGATCTATCCATGGGCATGTTTTCTATTTTGTGGTCAATTTGTTTGGGGCACAGATCATTTCCAAATGGCAGATTCAGAGTCTCCACGTTGGGTAACCCAACACTCTCCCCCACAAGTGAGAAGTGCAGTCTTTAATTTGGGTCTCTTGCAGCATAAACAGAAGGCCGAGGGTGGAGGTGGGGCTCATTGAGTTGGCTATTACTTTATTTCCAGATGTGAGAAGGGCTTGCCAGCAGAGCCGCCATGCCAGGTCAGGCCTGGGGATGGTCCAGCAGGGCCCTTCCCATCCCATGGCCAGAGGCCTGGGCCCCAGCACCGACTCTGGTGAGGGAGTCAAGGCCCGGGCACCCTCGGTCTCTGTTCTGCGACCTCTGGCTGCCTCCCTTTTCACCCAGGGTCCGCTTCTGAGAAGCTTTGGTGGCTTGTGGAAGGAGAGGATGGGGAGGAGGAAGGCCTGCCAGCAGGGCCCCTTCCTTGGGTCTGCTGAATATTCATTTCTTCCCAGGAAGGCGAGACTTGTTGAGGTGCGGAATTAGGGTTAGGGTTAGGGCTAACTGGTCTGCGTTTCCCTCCCACCCAGAGAGCATTTCCTTGGTGTTAACAAAATATGGACCTGGCCCAGAGAGAAGGTGCTTAGAAAGTGCCTCCCTGTGTATGGACAAGCCGACCACGCACCCCGAGAGGCCAGGGCTTGGTTGGGTTTCCCTGCTTTTTCCTTCTTTTCAGAAAAGGTTGAATGTCAAGGATCAGTTGGTCCCTTTGGGGCTTTCACGTGGGGACATTGTAGACTCCGGGAGGTATTGGCCAGTGAGGTTTGGCACGCATCCCTGGCTTACAGGATTGGCCAATGTCCTTCTCACCTTGAAGCAGCTCATGGGCTTCAGGAACATTGAGGACATGTCCAGAGGGCCCTGGGGGACCTCAGGAGAGGAGCCCAGGGCACTTTAAGAACTGGAAGGTGGGGCTGTAGGGAGCCAGGGGAGAGAATATGCAGGCCACATGCCAGGCCCTCCCCCAGCCCTGGTGAGGACACTGCTCCTGTCTCTTGCCCTGAGCTGGCCGGTAGATTACAAGCGGGCAGGGCAGGTGCCTTCTTCCTCTTGCCTCCTGGCTCAGTACTTTTTCTTTTTGGACACTTGCAGTGCTTAATAAACATTCATTGTACTGACTGAAATGGGTGCTGAGTGAAGTCTTGGAAAGAAGGGCCATTCTTACCTGGAGGGAAGGAGGAGGACTTCGTGGAAGAGGCGATTTTGAGTTGGGTGTTGTCAGCCACCAACCTCTGACTAGTGCAGCAGATTTGGTAAATGTGGAGTCAAGACCGACCACCACTGGCTGAGAAGGAGGTGGGTGGGGACAGCAGCTGCTGGCATTTGGCCTGAGGAAGGGAGGGTAGAGGCTAGCTTGAGGGCATAACAGTCTCTTAAAAGTTTTTGAAAGGCTGGGCAAGACTAGGACTTGGTCTGTCTCAGTCTCTTCTTCTGTAAAATGGGGACAATAATAGTGCTTCCCTCCCAGGGTCCTTACAGACCAAGTGAGATGATGCTAATTGTAACGCATGTAGCTAGTGCCGGCACGGGAAGGTTGGCCCCTGTTAACTGTCACTGTGGAGACTGTAGGCAGCCGTTAACAGAGGCTGAAGAGTTGGGAGCGAGAAGCCGGAGGATGGGGGCTCCAGAGGGCTTGGCACCCAGGGCCACCTTGTCATCAAAGATAGGAGGAAAGGAGGAGGGGCTCTGAGGTGAGGAGAAAGGGGAGCTCAGGGCACTGTCAAGCCCCAAGCGCTCATTAAGCACCTTCTGTGTGCCAGACATTGTGCTGAGGCACACCCTGGCTTCTGCTCTAGCTCTCTAGAAAGGGGGCCGAACAGCCCGGATCCCAGCGTGTGCTGCAAGGCAGCCTGGAGAGGGGTTAGAAGATGGAAAGGACGATGGGCTGGAGTAGAGTGGGGACCCACTGTCCCCAAGCGAATGATCCCAGGATGGCTGAAAGACAGGAACAGTTTTCGGAAGAAGATGTCTAAGCTACCTTCAGCTGTGTGCAAAAATGCTTTAAAACACTAATAATTAAAGAACAACTGTGATATCCCACCTCACCCCCATCAGATTGGCTTAATTGACAAAAAAGAGGAAAATGACAAATGCTGGAAGGGTTGTAGGAAAACAGGCACACTAGTACGTGGTTGGTGGAGCTGCAGCCAGATCCAGTCATTCTGGAAAGCAGTTTGGAACTGTGCCCCCAAAGTCACTAAACTGGTCATACCTTTTGTCCTATTGCTAGGCCTATACCCTGAAGAGATCAAAGAAAGAGGAAAAGGATGCATATGTGCAAAAATAATGATAATAGCTCTTTTTGTGGTGGCAAAGAATTGGAGACTGAGGGTGCCCGTCCTTTGGGAGCTGGGTAAGCTGATTATGGTCGATGTGCTGTGAGAAGCATTGAAGAGTCTGGAT